GTTGGTTCGTTAGGTTGGTTGGTTAGATAGCTTAGGTTGGTTGGTTGGTTAGGTTCCTTGGTTAGGTTGGTTGGTTAGGTTGGTTGGTTAGGTTGCTTGGTTAGATTAGCTTAGTTAGGTTAGGTTAGGATAGGTTGGTTAGGTTAGTTACGTTGGTTGGTTAGGTTAGATAGTTTACGTTGGTTAGGTTGGTTGGTTAGTTAGGTTGGTTGGTTAGATAGCTTAGGTTGGTTGATTAGGTTGGTTGGTTGGTTAGGTTGGTTGGTTGGTTAGGTTGGTTGGTTAGGTTGGTTGGTTAGGTTGGTTTGGTTAGGTTGGTTAGGTTGGTTGATTAGGTTAAGTTGGTTACGTTATTACATTGGTTAGGTTGGTTGGTCACGTTGGTTAGGTTGGTTGGTTGGTTAGGTTAGGTTAGGTTAGTTTGGTTGGTTAGGTTAGGTTAGGTTGGTTAGGTTAGGTTGGTTGGTTAGGTTGCTTGGTTAGGTTGGTTGATTAGGTTGCTTGGTTAGGTTAGATAGCTTAGGTTGGTTGGTTAGGTTAGATAGCTTAGGTTGGTTGGTTAGGTTAGATAGCTAAGGTTGGTTGGATAGGTTAGATAGCTTAGGTTGTTTGGTTAGGTTGGTTGGTTAGTTAGGTTGGTTTGTTAGGTTGGTTAGGTTGGTTGGTTGGTTAGTTTGGTTGGTTGGTTAGGTTAGGTTGGTTAGGTTAGGTTGGTTAGGTTAGGTTGGTTAGGTTTGGTTGCTTAGGTTGGTTGCTTAGGTTGGTTACGTTGGTTACGTTGGTTGGTTACATTGGTTAGGTTAGTTGGTTGGTTAGGTTAGGTTAGGTTGGTTACGTTGGTTGGTTACGTTGGTTAGGATGGTTGGTTATGTTGGTTAGGTTAGGTTGGGTTGGTTGGTTGGTTGGTTAGGTTAGGTTAGGTTGGTTCGTTAGGTTGCTTGGATAGGTTGGTTGATTAGGTTCTTTGGTTAGGTTGGTTGGTTAGGTTGCTTGGTTAGGTTGCTTGGTTAGGATGCTTGGTTAGGTTTGTTGGTTAGGTAGCTTGGTTAGGTTGCTTGGTTAGGTAGCTTGGTTAGATTGCTTGGTTAGGTTAGATAGCTTAGGTTGGTTGGTTAGGTTAGATAGCTTAGGTTGGTTGGTTAGGTTAGATAGCTTAGGTTGGTTGGTTAGGTTAGATAGCTAAGGTTGGTTGGATAGGTTGGTTGGTTAGGTTAGATAGCTTAGGTTGGTTGGTTAGTTAGGTTGGTCTGTTAGGTTGGTTAGGTTGGTTGGTTGGTTAGGTTGGTTGGTTAAGTTAGGTTGGTTAGGTTAGGTTGCTTGGTTAGGTTGGTTTGTTAGGTTGCTTGGTTAGGTTAGATAGCTTAGGTTGGTTGGTTAGGTTATTAGGTTGGTTGGTTAGGTTAGATAGTTTACGTTGGTTAGGTTGGTTGGTTAGTTAGGTTGGTTAGTTAGGTTGGTTGATTAGGTTGGTTGGTTAACAAGGTTTGTTGGTTTGTTGGTTAGGTTCGTTGGTTAGGTTGGTTGGTTGGTTAGGTTGGTTAGGTTAGGTTGGTTAGGTTGGTTGGTTAGGTTATGTTGGTTACGTTATTACGTTGGTTAGGTTGGTTAGGATGGTTGGTTACGTTGGTTAGGTTGGTTGGTTAGGTTAGGTTGGTTGGGTTGGTTGGTTAGGTTAGATAGCTTAGGTTGCTTGGTTAGGTTAGATAGCTTAGGTTGGTTGGTTAGGTTAGATAGCTAAGGTTGGTTGGATAGGTTGGTTGGTTAGGGTAGATAGCTTAGGTTGGTTGGTTAGGTTGGTTGGTTGGTTAATTAGGTTGGTTTGTTAGGTTGGTTAGGTTGGTTGGTTGGTTAGGTTAGGTTGCTTAGGTTGGTTGCTTAGGTTGGTTACGTTGGTTAGGTTGGTTGGTTACGTTGGTTAGGTTGGTTGGTTACATTGGTTAGGTTGGTTGGTTACATTGGTTAGGTTGGTTGGTTAGGTTGGTTGGTTATGTTGGTTGGTTAGGTTAGGTTGGTTAGGTTAGTTGGGTTGGTTGAGTTAGGTTAGGTTGGTTGGTTAGGTTGCTTGGTTAGGTTGGTTGATTAGGTTCCTTGGTTAGGTTGGTTGGTTAGGTTGCTTGGTTAGGTTGCTTGGTTAGGTTGGTTGGTTAGGTTCCTTGGTTAGGTTAGATAGGCTACCAACAATTACAGCCCTTTTTCTATTTCTATTTCTACAAACCTAGCCTAAACTAACCTAACTTAACCTGCAAACCTAGCCTATTTCCTAGTCAAAACAAACATAACCTAATCTAAGCTAACCTAACCTAACCTAACGTAACTAACTCCTGGATACCTATTTACTGTTAGGTGAATAGATGTATTTGGTGATAGGAAACGCTACCTACAATTACAGCCCTTCTTCTTTTTCTATTTCTACAAACCTAGCCTATTTCCTAGCCTAAACTAACCTAACCTAACCTAATCTAACTAACTCCTGGATACCTATTTACTACTACGTGAACAGAGAAGACACGCTACCAACAATTACTGCCCTATTTCTATTTCAACAAAATAGCCTATTTCTTAGCCTAAACTAATCTAACCTAATTAAACCTAACCTAACCTTACCTATATATATACTTCACTACTCACTAACATCATCACTACCTCTCTACTCACCATCATCATCATTACCTCACTACTCACTCTGACACTAAAAATGGATTTGATAACAGATATGGTAAAAAACTTCATAATAGATATCATGATAGCCTAGGATTATGCAAAAAATGTTGAGAAGCAAATCCATATCAGTGACTTTTGTATGACAAATCTTGTCATACGAAACTTTTAACGCAAGAGATTTTGCAGACGATGAGTCACAATAACGTGGCTGAAATATGTTGACCAGACCACACACTAGAAAGTGAAGGGACGACGACGTTTCGGTCCGTCCTGGACCATTCTCAAGTCGATTGCGAGAATGGTCCAGGACGGACCGAACTGACCAACTACCAAGTTTGGTGTTGGACTTAAGACCTATCAACCTCTGGAGGGTTATTAAGACCACCACAATACCTTACTGACCAACCACCAAGTTTGGTGTTGGACTTAAGACCTATCAACCTCTGGAGGGTTATTAAGACCACCACAATACCTTACTGACCAACCACCAAGTTTGGGGTTGGACTTAAGACCTATCAACCTCTGGAGGGCTATTAAGACCACCACAATACCTTACTGACCAACCACCAAGTATACTTTAATCCTGAACATAGTCTAGTATCAAAATATACTCAAGAGTATATTCACCGAGAGGTGTGTTGGTGTGCCTCTCACACCAACACATATTTAATTTATACACACACCAACATATATAAATGTCCCCAGCCCTTGAAACGGACGTAGCCTCATCTTTAACATCTGACAAAATAAAATAAAACTGAATCCCACAAATTACCATAGACGAAAGTGGATGCCATTAGGTTGAAACAGAAGAAATTCAAGAAATCTTGGGAAGGTAATATCAGTTTAGACATCCAACTCATACTTACGAAAATAATGGATGTGAATTTCAGTGTTAAATTCTCAGCCTCTTTATCGTGACTACAATTCCAATTAGTATTTGTGAGAGATAAATTGATTTAAAAACATTTTAAATGAACAATTAGTTTTCATAATGAACGTATTAAACACAAGCTCTTAATTCCGGGTTTTACCGTAGCGTTCTCTGAATGTTGAAAATACTCCTATGATGCTCCAGGCTGAAATTCAAAAGATGCTACAAACAAAATCTAATCTTAAAACTATATTTAACATCTCAAAATGGGTTTCTAGCATCAGTTAAAACGCTCTATCTCTCTTGAAGTTAAAAATATCTGGAAAAAGCCTCACAATCTACTTGAATACTTTTTTTGACTAGAGCGAACGAGAGATTATTTCCCTCTTGCTTTAGGCATACTTATGCTAAATATTTGATGTTTTGGTAAAATAAAAAACGCTTCTGTGAAAATCGGATAATCATAGAGACATAATTTTGGCCTTCCATTACTCCCAAAACAAATTAATACGTGTCAATTTTATGGTATAGCAATGAGTTTATTTTCTGCAAAAGCTGCATTAATGATCAGTTGTAAAAGCCTTACTGACAAGCAGACTTTCAGACTGTGGAAAATATTCCACTTTTGCGTAAATAAATAATGAATTTAGTTATTATTAAGGCAGTGGCCTACGTGAGTAAGATGATGACACCTTTCTGGCAACACTACTCCAGATGGCGGAGTATGATAATTGTCTGTTTGAGCTTCGCTATTAATTACTAATAACTCAATATTATACTCTAAACTATAACTATCTACCAGCAGAAAAATTATCTGGTTTATTTTAAATTAAAAGAGGAAATAACTTTCGTTAGACAGTGAGTTATACCCTGTTCCCTCGTATATATAAAAGGTAACAGCCTAGCATAGGCTTTACTTAAATTCCATTAATTTAAAAGTTACACGCTTCCTAGAGCTCAATACTTCGTGACTAGAATATCTAAATATGTAGAATTACATGAGATAATAAATTATTAGTGTGTTGGAGCATTTGCTTAAGTGTAATGTGCGTAATAATTAGAATTTATATAACAGGAATTGGCAAGGCCGCCACCCCCTTGATTTTACCCAGAGGAAAAGACTGTCAGTGTCGTGTGAGACATTATGGAGGACGGGTCTACGGCTCCCTGTCTACCGTCTCTACTACGACCTACTGCCATGGTGTTCTATTGTACATGTTCTCTCTGTTAGAGCAGCAGCAGCAGAGCGACGGTCTAGTTTCATGCTGGTCGGCGTTCAATCCCCGACTGTTCCTAAGTGGTTGGGCACCATTCCTTTCCCACCGTCCCATCCCAAGTCCTGACCCCTTCCCAGTGTTATATAGTCGTAGTGGCTTGGTCCATTCTCCTGATAGTTCTCTTCCCTTCTCTCTCCCAGCTGAACTGACTGTCCACCTGTTTTTGGACCAGCTGTTGGAGGCCTGACCTGGGGCGACCAGCTGTTGGAGGCCTGACCTGGGGAACCAGCTGTTGGAGGCCTGGCCTGGGGCGACCTGGCCTGGGGGACCAGCTGTTGGAGGCCTGGCCTGGGGCGACCAGCTGTTGGAGGCCACCAGCTGTTGGAGGCCTGGCCTGGGGCGACCAGCTGTTGGAGGCCTGGCCTGGGGACCAGCTGTTGGACCTGGCCTGGGCGAGCTGTTGGAGGCCTGGCCTGGGGCGACCAGCTGTGGCCTGAAGCTGTTGGAGGCCTGGCCTGGGGCGACCAGCTGTTGGAAGGCCTGGCCTGGGGGACGACCAGCTGTTGGAAGGCCTGGCCTGGGGCGACCAGCTGTTGGAGGCCTGGCCTGGGGCGACCAGCTGTTGGAGGCCTGGCCTGGGGGACCAGCTGTTGGAGGCCTGGCCTGGGGCGACCAGCTGTTGGAGGCCTGACCTGGGGGACCAGCTGTTGGAGGCCTGGCCTGGGGGACCAGCTGTTGGAGGCCTGGCCTGGGGCACTGGAATGTGTCCATGTTGGGTGTTGGAGGCCTGACCCTGAGCTGTTGGAGGCCTGGACCTGTTGGGGAATGTGTCCATGTTGGGTGTTGGAGGCCTGGACCTGGCCCGGCACTGGAATGTGTCCATGTTGGGTGTTGGAGGCCTGACCCGGGGCACTGGAATGTGTCCATGTTGGGTGTTGGAGGCCTGACCTGTGGCACTGGAATGTGTCCATGTTGGGTGTTGGAGGCCTGACCCGGGGCACTGGAATGTGTCCATGTTGGGTGTTGGAGGCCTGACCTGGGGTACTGGAATGTGTCCATGTTGGGTGTTGGAGGCCTGACCCGGGGCACTGGAATGTGTCCATGTTGGGTGTTGGAGGCCTGACCCGGGGCACTGGAATGTGTCCATGTTGGGTGTTGGAGGTCGAACTTGAATTACCTTGTTAAAGAGTGCCGGCCACTCTTTAAGGCACTTCACCAACAGCCTAAGTATGTGTGGTTTACGTAATCCTAGTTTGGACCTCTTGTACCCGTGTATAAACCCGTAACTTTACATACGAATTGGTTAACAAGCAGGAGAATAGTCCACATATGTGAAAAGCCATTGTACTAATTTTCATTTTTTGTTGTAATGATATAGGCAAATGTGATTAATTTCATCACTATTAATTGCAATAACCCCTTGGAATGCTCAGATTAAAATCTGTGCATTTAACATTATATTTTATAGTATATTTATGTGAGAGCTTCTTGCAGATAAGGAGTCGCAGGCAGCTTCTGGAATCAGTTTTCAGCTGACGTGTGTAGATTAGGACGTCACTTGAGGCTACCTTGAGTACCACCAGCCGCTTGTCCCTCTGGAACAAGACGACTCTACCCAATACACAAGTTTCCCCTGAATGTGGCGGGACTAAACTTATAGGCAAGTCTCATTCTGTCGAGGCTTTAGTAGGTAGTGTGATTAGGTAATGGTAAGTTTTCCATACTCGCAGACAAGCGGACTGTTCTCATTAACAGGCAGACTTTCACTCGGAGAAGCAGCCTCAACTCACAGATGAGCAGAATTTCAGAGACTAGACGACGTTCACACAAGTAGGCTTTCAGACTGATTCACTACAGCATTTCTTTTGTTGTACAAAAATCGCTCATCTGGAGTTATACCTCAGAACGAGTGTAAGGTTTCAACCCCTCAACCTCTTAACCCTGTACTTTCACTACGTTAACTCAGCCCCCCAACACCACCTTCGACCCCTATCAGACTCTACCCCTAGACTTGAGTAGGAGCGCGAGATACCGAGCATTACTCTCACTTCACTTAATTCTCGACCTTCTCCCGCTAGTGATAAACTAAGTCGGGAGAGTCTAGACAAAGTGACCTGTGTCTTAAGTCATGAATCAGCCGGGAATGGGGGAAGAAAATAGTCAAGCGTCTGCTTCTAGTTGTGCACAAAAAAAGCACAATAACGTGATAGATCAACGAGGACACGAGTAGAAGCCATGAGGAATAGATGCTACACACTGGGTTCTCCCAAGTATATGCCCTAACCAACTCGGCCACGACATGCTAAAAGCTATGCAACCTGGGAATCGGTTGAATCATCTTAAGGGTCTTGTGACTTACGGGACTTAAGGTTCTTAAGACTTAAGGGAGCCGGTCGGCCGAGCGGACAGCACGCTGGACTTGTGGTCCTGAGTTCGATCCCGGGCGCCGGCAAGAAACAGAGCAGAGTTTCTTTCACCCTATGCCCCTGTTACCTAGCAGTAAAATAGGTACCTGGGTGTTAGTCAGCTGTCACGGGCTGCTTCCTGGGGGTGGAGGCCTGGTCGAGGACCGGGCCGCGGGGACACTAAAGCCCCGAAATCATCCCAAGATAACCTCTCGTAGGAGATTCAATTGAATCTCGGGTTGCATAGTTTTTAGCATGTCGTGGCAGAGTTGGTTAGGGCGTATACTTGGGAGTACCCAGTGGCTTCTACTGATTTTTCCCGGTTATGTTAGTGGTGTAATAACTGTTAAGTGGTGTAAATAGTAGGCTTGAGAAACTTCAGTTTCCCCTAGTGTTCAATCCGTCTATACAACCTTAATATGTTGCCACAGATGCATCACTGCAGACGATGGGGTCACAATAACGTCGTTTAAGATATGACCAAACCACACACCATATGAGACCGTTTAGGTCCGTCCTGGACCATTCTCACAATCGACTGGATCATTGTCCAGGACGGACCGAAACGTCATCGTCCCATCTTCTGGTGTGTGGTCTGGTCATCATGGATCACTGCTTTGTGAATTCACTGTATTAAATATAGACTGCTTTACGCTGTTAAAATATCTATTCATTACCGGCAGAATTGTAAAGATTTGTTCAAGTATTCATTATTAAAGATTGATTCTGAAAGCCACTGCCTCGTTCATATTAAAAATATATAATTTTATTTTATATAGTTAAATCGTGAATAGAAATGTCATTTCATGCCAGTTTAATGACCGGAGCGCTGTGCTAATATTAATACAGTGCTTTTATGTAATATTCATTTCTTACGGATTCTATACCATTTCATATATTAAACGTATGACTAAAAATAATTGTAACACAAATCAATTCGGAATTTTGTTCTACTTTATCAGTCGGCAATATGAAAGAAAATTTGATAAATGTTGTGGGATATTTGGGGCCTGACTCAATTTATTTAATTATTAAATTAATGAAATCAATTACGAAGGACCACCCACTTTTAAGAAAAGAGGGAAACTAATAAAAAGTGATCATTAGAAACACAAGGAAGAACCAGTGTCTATGGATAAATATTATGAAGCATAATCCCTTAAATAATTAATGGGCTGTATAGTTAATTAACTTAAATCAAAGCCTCAAACACCTACATTGGGGGGGTATTGCTAGAACTTCATATACATCTAGGAACTAGTGTGGTTCGTGCACCAGTTCATTGTGTAATAACTAATCTTATGACCAAATTATTAAAGAATCAAAAGACGATTATCACCAGAAATTATAAAGATTATTAGCATTGGAAACTAATCATCAAAATAAACACATATTGTCTCCAGTGTACACGACGAGCATCCTATTAAGTAGAATCGTGACTAAATAACAAGATTTGGAGTAATTAAATGGGTACAAAAAAGTCTTAGCTTTAAGACGATTTCTAAGACATCATTCACGCCTCGTCCTCGTGATCTCCGGAATTCCTCGTAGAAACACTTAGAGGTGAATAACACGAAGTTAGGTAACAGCTCGTTGACTCCTCACATACGAGCTGTAATTTAAGGGATATTACGTAGCATTGAACTAGGCTACTTGAATCACAATATCCATGAAATATAAATTTAAATTTAGTGCGGTACTAACGTTCATACGATATAACGACAAGCTGCCCACGACATATACAATCTCTAATGATGCATCAAAGAAGAACTATATACTTATCAGAGGGTGCAAATTATGCTGAAGCTTGCTTATCGCGTCCCAGGCTCAAACTTCCACAATGTCGTACACGTGATTGATAGCTTGGCCTGAATATCGACGCGTTATTAGTTGACCGAGCACTGCAGATCACGTAGAACAATAATAATCCGTTCAGGGTCCAGGGTAATTCTTGCTGACAATCTCCCCCTCCCCTTCCGGCCCGTTGGCGACGTGAGGGGGCTTGGTGGACGGCTGCCGGAGTGTGATGCTCCGTTGGGCAGTCCTGTCCTTTTCTGGCCTTGCACTCCTGCTGCTGTCTTCTCCAATGGCCGGATCGCTTTTCTTTTCCTATGTTTCGTTTTTCTCCCCCCTCTTCTCCTACGCTTGTCGTTTCCTGCCGACCTTTTGCTTGTTTTGGATTCTTTCTTTGGACTTCTTCTATTTTGACGCCCGGGTGCTTGAGGAGGCATACTCTTGCACCCGTAGAACTGCAGTACCCGACGTCTCGAGCGAGGGGAACCTTTTATTGTCAATCCCCACTTCGTCGCTGAACCCGATCTCGACGGACTGACGGTTTCTTAAGGTGGCGTTTGTGGGGCGTATACTCACGACGCACCCCTAGGGGGCCCCGGCATGATCAGCGATAGCTTCCTGTTGGGTGTCCTGCCTCTAATTGTGGCTCCATGGTGGGTATGGGGGCACATTCGTGGATGAATTTGTCACTTTTCGTCTCTATGTCGTTGAATGTTTCGGCTGCTTCTGGCTACCCTCTCAGGCTCGTGGGGTGGGCGACCAAGCCCCCGAGTCGGTCTGTATTGGAAGACCAGGCTCTGTAGCTCCCGCTGCGTTGGGCCCCGACCTTGCTCCTCCTTTGACCGTCTCTGACTTCTTCCCCTGGCTCCCTCCCTCCTCTGAGGTTGGGTCGAGCCTCCAGCCCCCAGTGGTGACCACTTCGTCCCCTGGCGTGGCTAAGTCTTTCGTTGTGACTACTGCGCCTTTTGACCCCTCTCTCTCTAGGGGTTCTCAACGCCGTTCGCGCCCCGGCCGCACTCGCTCGATTCCTTCCCGTGCTGATGCGTATCAGGCCTTGTTTGGTCCTGCTTCATGGGCCAAATACTTTGATCTCCTCCCTCTTGATTCTGCGCCTCCTGACGATTTCTCCCTCCATCGGCATCTTGTAGATTCCGTGGATGCGTGTGTTACTTTCAACCCCACTCGTCTCGGTACACGTGTCGTTGCTGCTCCTTCTCAGGATGCGGCTTCCCGCTTGGCTGCCTTATCTTGCCTTGGCGAGATCCCTGTTCGGGTCTCCAAGAACGTTCAGATGAATTCCAGTGTTGGCACTATTCTCCTCCCACCCCATGTTGCAACCGGTGTTCGGAATCTGCAGGATTGCCACGATGATATTCGGCATATCCTTGATGCCCAAGGCCATTCTGTCCTCCAGGTTGACTCGTTTACTCGTCCCCCTCGTGGTCGTCGCCGTCAACCCCTTCGTGTTGTGAAGATCACCTTTGATGGTAGGACCCTTCCATCCTCTGTCATTCTTGCTGGTGCTAGGTGCTCTGTCCAGGAGTATATTCCTTCTCCTCGACTTTGTAATAAGTGCTGGAGGTTTGGGCATGGTGCCCTCCGCTGCTCTGGGACTGTCTCTCTCTGTCCTTTGTGTGGGAGTGAAGGTCACTCTAAGTCGGAGTGCACTTCTCCCCAGGCTCGCTGCCTCAACTGCGGTGAGGCCCATCCTACGTTCTCCCGTGCCTGTGTCCATTACAAGCTTGAGGCGGCCGTCCTTAACCTGAAGCACCGGGAGCGTTTGTCTTTTCCTGAGGCGAGGCGCCAGGTTCGCCGGCTCCCGCCTTATACTAACATCTCTTATGCTCGCGTGTTGAGCTC